ATAGGGCTGTCAACTCTTGGAGACTGCAATCTTGTCTAAGCTATGTACAGAGGGGGAGGAGGGTGTAGAGTTGAATGGGGACGCAAGTTCTGTCTCTAGGAGGCAGAGGCACATTGCTACCACCACCCCCTCCACTCATTTCAAGGTCAGGACTTTGGCCTTTGTTGGAGTGATGGTATGGCACTGGAAGAAAGAACCAGACAGAAAAGGTAACTAGGCATTGGGTATATCCAAACAGTTCTTGGCCCTTGGGGAATAGAGACAACAGAGATGGAGAAGGGGGGTGGGGCAGGGGGAAGAATGAAAGAAAAGCAAGATGAGTTGGGGGAGGGGGAGGGAACATATGGCATTAGAGAGTATAATACCTCCTAAGCACATCTAGGTTTATGATGGTAGACAGAACTCCTAGATGGCCTTCTGGATGATTTGAATACTACTAACATCCTATACTAGGTCTCTCCCTGGATGGTAGACATTGGCCATGTTGATCAGTCATGAGTTCAATTCAACAAACATTTATTACATATTTATTATGTGTAGAACTGGCAGGTAGCACAGAGGATAGAGTACTGGGCCTGGAGTCAGGAAAACTCATCTTCCTGGGTTCAAATCTGGCCTGAGACACTTATTAGCTGGGTGATCCTGAGCAAGTCATTTAACTCTGCCTCAGTATCCTTATTTGTAAAATGAGCTGGAGAAGGAAATGGTAAACCATTCCAGTATCTTTGCCAAGGAAACCCCAAATGAGGTCACAAGGAGTTGGACACAACTGAAAATGACTGAACAACAAAATGTGCATAATGCTCTGCTAGGCATTGGGGAAGATACAAAGTTTAGTTAAGACTTGGTTCCTGACCTCATGGGGCTTAAAATCCAGTAGGGGAAATATATGTGTGTGTGTGTGTATGCGTGTGTGTGTATATACACATACACATCCAAAGAGTGGAACACAATTGAATATACAATGGGAACATAGTACAAAATGATTCGGGTGTTCAGGAGTGGGAGAGATCACATACGGACAAAGGAATCCAGAAAGGGATTCACGGAATCTCCAGACACACATAGCAGAGTCAGAATGTGAACCCAGGTCCTCTGACAAATCCAGTGCTCTTTTCTATGGGCAGTGGGAAGTCCATGAAGGGTTTTGAGCAGAGAAATGTCACAACCAGCTCTATAAAGAGGAAAGATTACTCTGAAAACATGGAATGCATTAACCTGTAAGGCAAAGGGAATGAAGGTAGTCAGGTCAGTGGTAATGATGACTTATCCCAAGTTGATGGCAATAGGAATAGAGACAAGTGAATAGATGTAAGACATATTGTGGAGGTGGAATTGACAAAACATGGTTCCTGATTTGATATGAGAGGTAAAGGAGAGGGAAGAGTCAAAGTTTTTGCCAGCATGGGATCCTGGGTGACTGTTGAAACCACCAAGAGAAAGGAAAGTCTGGATGATTTTTTTTTTTTTTTTGGGTGAGGGTGAGTGGAGAGATGGGATTGGAAATGACCACATAGGTGGATAAGAAGAGGATGCCCAGTCTGACCTGCAGCTTGGTTAGTCATTGTCCTAGGGATGGCTATCCCCTATAACCAGACCATCTCTGTGGCCTGGGGGGTGTCCCCTCAACCTCACCCTGGGCTTTCTCTGAAGCAAGCAGTTGCTTCAAGTGCCCATTTCTCTCACCACCATACTACTCAGACCCATACCCCTGGAGCTTGGGGACCTAAGTCTAGACCCACTGCAACTCTTCCAGTGGAAGAGCCATGGAGCAAGGAAATAGTAGAAACAGGCATATGGGATAATATTCATAAAGTGCTTAGCACAGTGTCTGACTCATAGTAGGTGCTTAATAAATGCGTCCTCTCCCCGTCCCCACATTTAGAGGTGGAAACGACCTTAGAAATAATTTATTCCAACCCCTTCATTTTACAGATAAGGAAACCAAAGAAATTCAGTGACTTCACAAAGGTCACATATTCCCCCAGCCCACTGTAATCTTTCTGTCATCTGACAGGTACCACTTATTTCTGTACATCTGACAGGTAGCACTTACAGGTTAGATATGTTAGTAATTACATTTTATACATGTATGCCTTGTCTCCCTTCTAGACTAAGCTCTATGATGTCAGGAAACCCCATGTTACACATTTTCAGTAACTGCCAGAACTTGTGGTTCCATCAGCCCTGCTCATAATAGATGCTCAGGAAATATCCATTTATTCAAAGAAAGGGGACACAAAATCCTTTGGAGAGACATGGACCCTGACTTTGTCCTTTACCAACTATCCTCTACCTGTCCCACTTTCCACCCTCCTCCCAGAAAGTATAGAGGGCAAGGGACTGAAATATAGTAACATAAAGTGTAAGTTCTATAAGCAATCTTGTTCTTCTCAAATTTCTCTTTTATTCAACAAACATTATTAACATTTGTCACTTACTATGCACCAGGCACTGTGGTTACCAAAATAGCTAAGATGCAAGCCCTGCTCTCAAGGCGTTTACAAGTAGATAGATGAAGAAGACATGAGCACAAAGAATAAAGGGCAACAGAGAAATCCACACAAAGAAAATCTAAGCAACCATTTTTACTTGATAGGAGGGAGAGGAAATTAAGGAAGAGGGAGAGATCAGGGAAGGCTTCCTGGAGGAGATGCCTAAGTTGGCTATTGAGGCAGGGGTGGGAGTATGGGTCGGGGTGGAGGTGGAGTCAGTTAACTGACTGAAATTAGAGAAGTAGGAAATCCATTCCAGATGCAAAGTATCCTATGAGCAAATCAATCAATCAATCAACAAGCGGTTATTAAACACCTCCTAAATGCCAGATTTGAGGCCATGGGGATACAAGTACAAAGAATGAAAAAATCCCTACTGGCAATAAGCTTCTATTCTAATGGGCAAGGTTGGAGAGGACAGAATGGGAATGAGGACTAAAGAGGCTTCCAGTCTGACCATGGAGTAAAGGAAGGGAATTAAGGGTGTTAGAGAGAAAGGCACATTGGAGCCCAAAGAAGCCCTGGAATTCCCAGATCAGAACTTTATACTATTTAGTAGACAGCAGGGAACTGCTGAAGGTTTTTTGAGTAGTAGTAACATACTGAGTATTGAGATTAGGAAGAATACTCTGAGAGCCACTATCTGGGCCTCTCCTATTTATTTATATTATGAGTTGCATGTGCAGGTCTCATCCTCTCTTACCAGGCTGTAAACTCCTGAGAACTCAGACTGCCATTTAAAAAAACCAAACCAACCAACCATCCAAATAAACAAATGCTCTGTGTCCCCCCACCACTGAGCACAATGCCTTGTACTTAGAAAGCATTTATTAAATGTTTCTTGAATTGTTGAACTGAGGTCAATAAAGGATTCTGGCTTAGAACTGAAGGCAGACGTGGACATTGATGAGTAGCGAAAATGACCTGGCTCCTTTTTCTGTCTTAGGGACCTTCTGTCTCTGCAGTGGTCCACCTCCACCAAGAAGCCTGCCAGGGCAGCAGCTTCAGTGAATTGGAGAGATTGGAATAAGTCATTAGAAGGAGGCCATTTTTCCTATAAGAGCAAGGGATCCCCAGTGTCAGGGCCCAGACTCACCCAGAAGGCTCCCTCACCAGCCCTGAGAATTCTTGCTTTGTTTTATTTTATTTTTGTGTGTGTGGCAATTGGGGGTTAAATGACTTGCCCAGGGTCACACAGCTAGTTAAGTGTCTAAGGCTTTATTTGAACTCAGGCACTCCTGACTCCAAGGCTGGTACTCTCTCGGTTCACCACCGAGCCGCCTCAGTCCTGAGAATTCTTCCATCACTCTACTTCATCCTCTTATCCCCCACCCTCCACTCCAATGCCTTTGGAGAGATCTGGATCCTGAATCAGAAAACCCAGTTACTGCTGTCCTCTGGGTGGCTCCTTGTCCCCAGGCAACCCTGTTCCAGGACTTCCTATGACATAAATGGCCCTGTGGCCTGGCCATCTGGATCTTCCTAGGGCAGGACCCTGGGACGGTAGGGTTAAATGCACTCTCCAATGAGCCACAGTGGGACCACACACCCCCTGTATACACATCTCAGCCCACAGCCCCGGGACCCTGACCTCTGCTAATTAACCTCCTGCCCCTATGGGGTAGGAAAGTGGATATTTAAGATTTCACTTCAACTTTCTTCACCACCAACTTGGCCTTAGGGGTGGGGGGTGCTGGAAGCCTGCTCCTAGTATGGGGGGGAAAGGTTAATTCCTTCTCTGCCTTGTGTTCATTGATTGTGACAGCTGATTAACCAGTCTCCCCCAGCACGGTGGGGGCTTACAGCCACCCAAAGAATCCGAAGCAACAAGAGAAACCAGAAATCTCACCATTCATTTAAAAATTTCTCCTCTCCCACTTAGGTCAGGGGCCTGTCCCGATTAGGCCCTTAGGGATTTTCCCACCCTTGCTCCTTCCCACTAGCAGCCCGGCAGCCCAAAGGGCCATCGAGATAGACTGGAAAACTTCTACAACTCCAGAGGAGGAGATGGGGGGGCGGGGGGTAATGGAGAGTAAGGAAAAATCGCACAGGGGCGAAGACACACACATACACAAGTGTGGCCAAAAAAATTTCCAGTGGGTAGAAAAAAGAACTGCCAGCGGCTGCCCTCCCTGGACCCAGGGAGATTTCCCTAGGAATCCTCTCCTGGAATCAGAGAAGCAGCAGCAGGCAGCAGCAGCAGGCAGCGGTGGCAGCAGCAAAACTTCTGTCCTAGAAGTGCCCCAAACTTCCCCCTCCCTGTCTCCCTCTCTCTTTTGTTCCCCGCTGCATTGCCAACCAGGCAGGCTCCGCTTCCCACACTGGACTGTCCTCCCCCAACCCGAACCCCCAATAGACCCCGTGGCGTGGCAGGGATCCGCTTGCTTCCTCTCCCATACTACCCCCACTCCCCCCACAACCTTCACGGTCGCCCCCCCCCCAGTTCCAGGCCTGCCCGCTCCCCCCTCCCATCCCCTGGTGGTGGCGGGGGGGGGGGACACTCACCGGCTTTGCAGGGGTCTTTGTAGTTCAGGGGCTCGGGGTCCTCCTCTTCCCCCAGGTCATAGGTGTAATCGGCCAAGTCCAGTGCCCGGGCCGGGCGAGGGGGCAGCAGCAGCAGCAGCAGGGACAGCAGCGGCAGCAGCAGCAGCTGCAGCAGCAGCAGCAGGGGCGGGCGAGCGGCTGAGCCCGGCATGCTGGCGGGGATGCGACTCCGGGGCCGGGGCCGAGCCCGAGCGAGAAGAGAAGGAAGGAGGGGAAGAGGAGGAATGGAAGGAGAAGGGAGGGATCTTTTTTCCTTCTCTCTCTTTTTCTCCCTCCCTTTCTCCGGCTCTCTGTACCCCTCCCTCTCTCCCTCCTCTCCTATCTCTTCCCCTCCTCTCCTCCTCCCTCTCTTCCCGTCCACCCCCTTTCTCAATTTCTCTCCCCCTTCTCTCTCCCTCTCCGGCCCTTGCTTTTCTCTCCCTCTCCCCCCCCTTTTTTTCCTCCTTTTTTTTTTTCTTTTAGGGAAATGAGCTCGCCGGAGGGCGTGTTTTCGCTCAGAGCTCAGCCCCCCTCGGGGCCCGGACTGTGCTCAGCCCCGGGAATGGGGCCAGCCGGAGGCGGGGAAGCAGCGAGCCGGCCCGTGGGCGGTCACGGTCCCTCCCGCCGGGGAGCGAGAGGGGGGCCCTCTCCACGCGTGGGGTGGGGGTGGGGGTTCTGGCTGCTGCCGCCGCCACCACCACTACAGCAGTTGCTGCTACTGCTGGCTCCACCCGCGCAGGCCTGGGAGACCAGAGAGCCCCGGGCACAGAAGGGCACGCGTGGGGTGCGGGAGGTGGAGAAAAACAGCGCGATGTGGCCCCGGTATGGAGTTCATTTGTGGGGTGGAAGCTCCGGGGGGGTGCCTCCTAGTGGTTGAGTTTCTCTATGGGGTGTCCCTGGGGTGCCAAGGAGTCCCGAGACTTTGTCCCAGAAAAAGAAGCAACGCCCCCCTCCACCTCCAGCCACAGCCCCTGCAGAAATTCTCCTTTTCTCTCTCCCCTTTCTTTCTGCCTCCTTCCTTTCCTCTTCTCTCTTCTGCTCCCAGCGCCGTCTTTCTGTCTCTCTCTGTCTCTCTGTGTGTCTGTCTTTCTCTATGTGTGTGTGTGTGTGTCTCCCCCTGTCTCCTTGTCTCTTCTTGCCCCTCAGTTCCTTTCTGTCTATATGTCTCTCTGTCTAGGTCTCTTTCGTTTTCTCTCTTCGGTCCCTCTTGGTTTCTTTCTCTTTCTCAGTCTCTCCTAAACTCGTCCTCTTTTCACGGAGAAAGGCCGTTCCTGAAATAGCCATTGGAGGGCGCTACAGCCTCGCTGATCGCTCCCCAAGTCCCAGCTACGCCCCCACTCGTGTCTGGGACAAGGAATCACGTTCCTTGGAGCGGAGGGGGCAGTTCTCTGTTCTCTCCTATCTGCCAACCATCTTTCCCAGCCCTACCTTAGAACGCCATTCCTTCCTCGCTAAGTCCCCACAGCCTTGGTCCGAGGGGATGTAGTGGATCGACCGGCAAGAAGGAAATCACTGAGGTTTTTCATAAGAGCTTTTCAAGGAGCTCATAAAGTAATTTTATTATTTTTGTAGCATAAGCATCCCGAACCCACAAGTACATCTTCCTCTCATCCCCCCTTCCTCCCCCCTCCTTTTCTCTCTTTGCAAGTTATAACCTTCTTCAAACTCAGGAACCACGCAGGATTTCTTCTGTCCCCTTGGTAGTCTAGAACCTAGAAAGCAAAGACACTAGTTACCATGGGAGGAGGTTACCATGAGAGCCAGCTCGGCATAATACGTAGAGCCCTGCACTTGGACTTAGGTTCAGGTATTTACTAGCTGTGCTACTCTCAGCAAATTATTTAATTTCTCTGTGTCTCAGTTTCCTTATCTGTAAAAAGAGGGAGTTAGACTTAATAACTTCTAAGGTTCCTTTCCAGAGGAAGGGGGGAGGGTGAAAATCTCTACTCTCTTCCTCACCACCACCCCTACTTCTGGGTTTTCCTGAGCATGATCTACCTCCTCCAGTCCTACCCAGTATGGTTCATCTGAGTTCAGTGCCCCTTGGCAGATACAGACATAATGTCATGCTTTCCACAATTCGCTTGGTTCAACTTAGCAGTACCCTCCAAGAACTCTGCCTCTATCCCCTTGCTCACCAGATGGTCCCTAAATGTAGTACAGAGGAACCTCTCCACAAAGGACATTCATAGTAGTGCCCAGGAAGGCTGGATCCACCTGAGACTCTGAATTGACATGGGAGTCCTCCTTCTGATCCAGTTTAGCAGTGGGCAAAGAAGGTTTAGCCTAAAAAAAGAGACATGATTGATATCAGCTACAAATACCTAGAGTGTGCAATGGAAATGGGGAGCACAACTCACCAGGTGACTCTGAAATTTTCGGGTGATGACGTCAAGGCTGGGGATATCCTCTGGAGTCATTTGAGTGATGTAACAGGTGGCACCCAGGGCAGGCTTAAACGCAATTAAAAGCTGAGCACGGAAGGGAAAAAATTGACTCAAGAAAGTTTCTTCCTCCCCTACAACCTCACCCTCAATCCAGAAGCTTTGAGGGTTCAGAGCTTCAGTCTCCATCTAGTGGACTGTGAGAATCAGTGTTGGAGCCTGCGGATCTTTTGGGAGCTAAGAGCTCAGGTCAGGTGACCACCACAGACTAAAGTGTGGAGGAGTGCACAAAGGTAGAGGCTGGTGTTCAGGCATGTTTGCACCTAAGCTAAATTTCAAACATGCTCCAGAGATATGGGAACCCCACCTTCCAGTCAGTCTGCTGATTGACTTGCCCCACCCTTACCCCCCCCCCACCTAACACCAGCCCTGCGGCATCTCTTGCATACCCGGTAGTAATCATACACCACAGTGCCAGAGGAGCCAACGGAGAAGGTAGAGATGGTTCCCTCCCACCTGCTGAGGGCCAGGCGCTGCTGGGCATCTGGCCCCCCGATGCTCATCTCCAGGACCTAGAGAGTTGGACCGTCTGTCAGTTCTGCCATGACCTGCTCTCATTTCATGTGGACTTCTTCCTCCCTTATCCTTTCAGGGTCCCTATGCAATCCCTATCCCTTTTTCCAAGTGCAACCTCCAGCTGGTCCATGGGCAGTGCCCCCCCGCCCCATTCATGCTACCGAGAGAGAATGAGCTGAGTAGAGCACCTAGGCTGGTGTGGAGTGAGTTGGAGGGTGCCAACTCTGTTATTCTTTAATCAGATCAAGCCATCTTGGTAAAGGTGTCTGTTCTTTCTACTCCCTGCTTTGTGCCCATTCTTCTAGCCTTTCCAAACCCCATGCCTTCCATGCTCAACCCTCTCAATAGCCCCATGATCTTCTGCTCACAGTGCCCACTCCATCATCCCAAACCAAACTTCACCTGCACAGACCTCCCTGCCCATCCTGCCAGCCCACTTCCAAGTTGCCCGCTCCTCCAGCACCCCCTCACCATCTCTGTGTGCTTCTGACTCATATGTAGACCCATGAGCAGGGCCCCTAGCACCACAACCACCACCAAAACCACGACCACCACGATGATGAGCAGCCTCTTGAGGTGCAGAGGGCAGCAGGGTATTTTAAACCGGCCTTGAGGGGTGGCAGAGTAGTCCTGTTATGGGAAGAGGGGCCAGGGAAATCAAGGTCAAAACTGGGGATCGTGGCTGGAAGACTCCCAACCCCACCCCCATTGCCACTTGGCCACTCATGTCAGTGAGCAATGATGCCCATTCTTTTTTTCTTTAAAAAAAATTGCCTTTATTCTAAACTTTAAAAACACCAGATAAAAATAGGTATTTCCATATATACAGTAGAACAAAAAAAAAAAAACAAGATTGCACACAAAAATACAGATCACTGTTATAAACGGCTTGATTTCTTTTAAATCTTAAAGTATGTGATCAATTCAGCCTGTACATTTCAAAGCTGTCCTGCTTGTCTGTGCTTCTTTCTAATTTCCCTTCTGTTTTTTGATCTGCATATTTACAAAGGATTCTTTAATGTCTCTCTTTTTTCTTCTTTTCTTTCCTTTTAAATCCTTGTTTTTCTTTTTTCTTTTTTGCTATCCTATTCCTATCCCTGAAGTCGCTGCTCTTTTACCCTACATAAGCAGACTCCTAAAGACATCTCCTAGGTGTTAATTGACCAATCACCAAGAATGTATCACATTCCTGCTACAAACTATACTGCTAGGTCCTGAAAAAGATAAGAAGGAGGCAGAAAACAGAATCTCTGTAGTCAAGGAGTCCAGACACACACACACACACACACACACACACACACACACACACACACACAC